TATTAGTAACCACCTTATAGGAAGATGATCACCTAGGGATCTTGTTAGCATATTGCCTTTGGTACAATTCTACCCTGAAATGCACACACAGATACACACACACAGGATGAGAAGACAGGAGCAAATTTACTTCTGAGACAGGATTTAAAAATTTTCTCCACCTTGATTTTCTGGTCTTTATTCCCGCATTAGCTTTTGACTTACAGCTAGTCACAGTACCTATTTATTAATTTACATCCTAACTCAATTCTAAAAGAATATGAGATGCTATTTTATCAGATATTATATTTAAAAGACATAGATAATTGGAAATTACAATTGATCTAAAATTTGTCATGCAACTGAAAGAACAGTGTATTGAGATATATACTTTCCAATACCAGTTCTTTAACCAACTAGTTATTCAACACAAGAACACATGCTACTCTAAGGTTTCCTTTGCTTCTTTGATAAACAATACCAGTTGCCTACACAACTTCTAATGACACAGATTCTATGGAACTGTGTACTTCCAGACCAGCATTTCACAAAATTTGTTGAGGCGTGTGCAATTCTTTTGAGTGAGGTGGGCCTCTTTGCTGTAGGACTTTTAAGTAGCATTGTGATTTTGTTCATCGCCCATTCAAATGGGTTGCTGCACTACTTCCTCCCTGCAAGCCCAATGAATCCTATTCATTCAGAGGTGGATCATGCACAAATCAGAATGATGTCTAGAGCTGTAGTACTCATTAAGATTATTTACTAATTAACTAGAATCAAATGTCCATTGCAACCTTGATACATGTCCATAGGAACCATATTGTTCCACAGAGAATGCTTAGAAGATTCTTGAGTGATTTTAAGGTCCAAATGGATTCTAGGAATATTACTTTTCACCCAGTGGCATTGGCCACAATGTCACTTCTTTTAATAAACTTGGGTTAGCAATATCCAGATTCTGTGTAACAGATACTAGCTAAATACAGAAAGCTAGAATCTTAAAAGTGTTAGAATGGTTTGCTAGTTACTAGGGTTGAGTTAAGATTCAGTCATTTAGAATTACGTTAGAAAATTCATTAGAAAGCAAAGGATAGAAAATCACTAAGATAAATGAAGTTGGAGCTATGTGGTTCTTTGCTTGATTTAAAAATCCTCAGCCCGGTGTTGTGGTATAGCAGGTAATGCTGCCTCCTGCAACACTGGCATCCCATACAGTCACTGGCTCATGTCCTGGCTGCTCCACTTCTGATGCAGCTCCCTGCTGAGGGCCTGGAAAAGCAGGCAGGGGAGGATGGCCTAAGTGCTTTGGCCCCTGCACTCCCGTGGGAGACCCAGTTGAAGCTCCTGGCTTCAGAGCAGTCCCACTCCAGTCATTGCAGCCATTTGGGGAATGAACCAGCAGATAGAAGATGTACCTCTCTGTAAACTTTGCCTTTCAAGTAAGTAAATAGATCTTTAAAAAAAGTAAAAATAAATAAAAATATTCTTACAAATGAAAACCATATATTCCATTAGCTTATAGGCCATGAGGCTAGGAATCCCTTTTTATCAGTAGATGTTTTCTGCTATTCATTCTTGTAACACTTCTTTGTTGAACAAAGAATTAAGGCATATATTTATTATACACTTACTGTGGTGTCTTAATGATTTGGGTAAGTCTTCTCAAATGAGAACATATTTAATCTTGGGCTTAAAAGGTGTGTATGGGTTCTCTAGGGTAGAAAACAGGTAAAGGAGTAAGCCAGGTAAAGTCAATAATGCCTACCAAGGTACAGTGATTTGAAAGAAAGTAAATCTGGTTCATAGTGGCTGCAAGTTGAGGTGACTATGGAAGAATGATCAGCAATAGAGGCAGGCAGAGAAGAAATAGCCTGTGATTAAGACAGCCTGTGATTAAGAAACACTTATGTGCTTTCATCTTGGAAGACAAAGAATGGGAACGGATGACCTCTGTATGTGTTATATGAAAAGGCTGTCATTGGATTTCAGCAGAATATTTTTGATGGTTATATTATGTTGTAAAAAAGAGAAATAAAAGTTATGCTTCACACTAAGTATATTTAGATTTCAGATAGCAGTAAAACAGATACACTTTTGGAGATCAACATAACCTAATTTCAAAGCTTTCCTGATTCCTTGTATTTTTTGTATATAATTTGGTTTAAAAAAAAGTTTGTGAGCAAGTAATGGCTAAATCCTACATTTTATTGAATAGGTCATAAGGGTGAGAAAACCAGTGAGAAGTAAGTCCTGCTTCTGATGTATCAGCCAGAATGAATGAGCCCGTTGGGAGGTAGACACAGTTCCAATAGCCTAAGGAAACTGAGCAGGGAACAGCAAAAGTGCTGGGATCAGTGGCGTGGCATTTTGTCAGCACCCTGTTATAATGGCTGCTGGGACACAGGAACTCACCCACCAATGATAGCCCCCTCCTGTTCTTCATCTAAACAGGATCTCAGGGTGGGTACCAGGTCCCGATGGGCCAATGAACATCGCGTGTACTGCCAACCATATCCCTCCATCCTGAGACAGCAGCCTATGACCACATCCTGCCTCAAGGCCAACAACAGGAAAACAGAATGGGCAGAGACCGCAGCTGGCTGTGCTGCTTCCTTCATTTAACTTCTCTATCTGGAAAGCCTTATAAATATGTTTCCCTTGCTTTTTAAGTTCCAGAAATGAAAAGTACTCAATCTTCTAGAACGATGAAGGTGGACAACAGATCATTTCTTTTCCCTTCATTTATCCCTGCCCAAACTCTTCCAGCTAATTCAGAGGAGCCATCTGCATCAGCTTGCTAACGAGTTTGGACATGGTTCTTAGGGCAATGGGGAACCGTCGGAGGTGGTTAAGCTGGGGGTGTTGTAATCATATTTGTGATTTAGCAAGGCAACTCTGGTACCAGCAGGGGTTGGAAAAAGCCAGGCACAGTTAAGGAGTCAGTCTGAGGCCTCTTGCATTGGTCTAATTAATGATGAAGCTCTGGCCTGATGTACTAAGCCATGCATGAGGACACTGATGAACCAACAGAAGTGGGAGTGGTGGAAGGAAGAGGAAGAAATGGAGATGATGCCAAGGTTTCAGGCAGCATGGCAGGAAGGCAACATTTACCACCCAAAGTGAATTTTAGCTAATCTCACCATTTAATCTGTATTTGTCAATGAAATAGGATTTGTGAGCCAAGGAGTAGAGTGTTTCCAGGGTTTTGGTATATTCTCACAATGTAAAATCCCAGAAAGGTCAGATAAATTTGCCACTTTATGGATACAGTATTAGAGGTAGCACAGTGAAAATGGTCCCTGACACTGGAGCCAGGAAGGGTTCAAGTACCTAATCCTCTCTGCACCTACTCTTCATCTCCTCAAAGAGGAAAATAATAAAACCCGACTAATTAGCACTTACAAGGTTTAAATGAGTTATGAGTAAAGGATTTAGCTTGCTCAATGCACTGCCTGAGCTCTGTGTCTGGCATGGAGCACTCATTTAATCAATATGGCTTTCTATCTCGGTCTTAAACAAACAAACAAACAAACAAACAAAAAACACACAGCACTGAAGAAATAGTCCAGTTTCAAAGAAGGGAACCCTTAGCATACTTTTCCTCTTACATTCAGCATGATGATGTACAATAGAAAAAGTCATGGAAATGCTGAACAAAAAATATACTTTTTTCCCTGAGGAAGCTCATAACAGAAAGGTGAAAACAGATTTCCAGGCATAGAAGTACCCTGAGCGTAAGCGTTTGGAAGACCACAGCGCTTGCTTATAAATAGAATATTAAAACAACCAAGAGCAATTTTCTCCCTTCGTCTTCCCTTATTGCCTAATTTTCCTCTCATACCATTTGCATAATGGATAAAAAGGCATCCATTATGCAAATGAACGATGGGGCTGTAAGGTTGCTGAAGCCACAAGCCTGACTCCAGATGATGAGAAGCTGCCACAAAGCCATCCAACATCCACGATCCAGCAGACTGCTTCACTAGTCTGGCTTCCAAAAGAAACAGCAGAACCACAAAGACCAGAGGTCATTCACGTCCTTTTGGTTTATTTTAAAGGGGGCACTACAGATGTGTCTCAGAAAATCAGGATAAAATATGGATATTCAGCATGGAAGTATGCAAGATCATTTTGCAGTATATGTTTTTCAAATGAGGCAAATGAGTGCTACGTGCAATTTTTATAGTTTTAAGCATATGCTTTGCTTTAAAAAGACTTGCTTTGTAACATGGGGGGGAAACCCCTCTTCCAGCTTGTGAATTAACCTGTAGCAGGTACTTTGAGCGGTCTCATGTGCACACATCCAGTGAGAATTTAAAAAAAATTTCTTTAAGCATGAAAATATTAGTAGACTTTGAAAAACTTGATGCTGTTGGACTGACCTAAATGTATCTCTAAGCAGTATCACCAAAACTAACCTGTTATTTCTCTCAGTAAATTGACTGAAACTTAGGAAGAATGTTTATTTTCTCTTTCTACAAACACCTTCAAAACAAATATAATGAAAAGGGATTCTGAATAAAATCACAGGGTGAATTGTTCTTGTTTGAATAAACAGCAGGAAAGAATGTCAAAACGAACTTCAAAATATTTTCCCCAAACTCTGTGATACATATCAGGAGACAGAAAAAATGATTAAGAATTGACAATGACCTTTATTTCTATTCTGAATTCCTTTGTGTAACTCTTAGCTTCTTCCAAATGACTTTCTCCAGGTACTTCTTTTTCTCCAAGCGATCCTCCAAGGATAGAGGCAACCCTGTCATTTACAACCTGCCTCCCACTAGTTACTTCAAGGGCACACAATTCAGTTCCACCATCAGTTCAACAAAAACTGCACCTACCGATGCCGGAGCATCGGCAGCTGCAAAGAAGTAAGTCAAGAAAGAAGGAAAACTAGAGAAAAGACAGACCACAAATTTTCTTCAGACAAATATTAACTGGATAGCAGTGAAGCTACCCAGTCAACGTAATGATGGATTTTCAAGTAGCTGGAAGGGCGAGCAGGAATGAACACTTACCTACTCTCAGAGCAGAAGGGGTTACTTCAATCTCCCCGCCAACTGGTCTGAATGCAGCCAGCTGGGCAGCCACTTCCGTCTCAAATGCATCTGGGCTTTGTGGATCTCCAGGGTTTCTGCTGGGGCTCTCGATCTTGTGGAGTGGTTCTTGTTCGTCAAACACGGCAATCAGCTACAAACAAGGCCAAACAACACTAATTACTTTGTAGGACACGTGTATCACACGGATGCTAGCTGGCCGATTGAGATCTTTATAGAGAAAAAGACTCCCTGAAGCTGAAACGTGTATGCTATCGTATCACAACTCTCAGTTCTTCAATAATACTATGTTGATATGCACGATGGCCAGGAAATAATGAATGGTTTGCTCCTTTGTTTACTTTGTCTATTCCTGAAATAGCTAATTTTGGTGAACTCTCTTTAGAGGAATGACATGCCTGGAAGGACTTCATTCCCTCTGTAAGAGCTTTCTCTAAAATGGAAGTTGAAATCCAAAATGTAAACGGTAGACATATGTGGTATAAGTGGACATGTTAGCCTCAGAGAGCTAAAACACACTGCAAAATCTTGAGCTATATTCGTCCCAGACACATTCACACATTCACGCGTGCACACACACACACACACACACAGAGTGTGGGTCTACTTACACACAAATGTGTTTGTCTCGCATACATACATACATATCTCATTTTTGTGCATGCCTTCTCTTTCATTTGGTTATTTTCCTTTATGATGAATACCATGCTGACTGGTTTATGTTCAATGAATGCTAAATCCAGTAAAACAAAGCATCAGCACTTTTACCCTAATTATTCCCATACTCATCTCAATTTTATTTCATATGAGATTTATGCTATCATTAATATAAAAACTTCAACTGTACATTTCCAAATAATTTTTTTTCAATAAAACCAGGGAGAAATGCATAGAGAAATGTCACAAGAGGAAAGTCCAAATGTGCCTGCGGGAGGCAGCTCAGGGGTGCCACTCTTCAGTCCAATAAAGAGCAGAGTGTGTAAACTTGAAAACTACAAGTAAATCTCAGACAGTTTTCATTCATTAAGTAAAACAAGCCTAGTTAGGATTCAAACCTTTACCCAGGAAAGGCACTCCAAGCCTCATTCATAGGGGAACCTTGTTGGCGATAGGATTAATAACACAAGTGCAGGGTTAACCAATCAAAACATCATAAATTCCAAGTTCAGCCTTTCGAAAGAAATGAATACAATTAGGGATATGCAAATTGGCTATTCAAAAATAATTTTCATAATTGACTACTCATTTCCAGTATGGAGAATTCTTTAATTGGAAAATCCAACAATCCTCTCACCACAGCAAAGAAATGCTACTCCCAAGGCATTATTTTTAATTCTTGAAATTGAGCACATGCATTTTCTATTTTTAATTGGAAGCACTGATGAACTGATTTGAAATAGACTTAAATGGATTAATAAAGAAAGATTATTCTAGTATAAAAATAATCAGTAGAGCTGTATCTTTCTAATCATCTGGCCAGAGTGAAAACTTTAACACTTTAAATCCTGAAAAGGAAAATAAAATACATTTTTAAAACATGGTAGAAATGCTATTTTCTTCACCATTTCTATGCCTTAGTTACACTTTTGCATATTGGTGAATTCTGTTATCAGTAATGCTCATTTTAATATATCAATCAATTAATCAGTGACATATTATATTGATACTATGAACCGTTCTGTTTAAGTTAGGAATATCTTAGTTTCCTCCAACAACATTTTAAAATCTGAATCTAACCTATGTGGTTTAAATATGGAGGGAAACAGAAAAGAATATCAGTTAAAGTTATAATGCAGATGCTTAAAATTGATAACTCATAAATCATTACCTACACTCTTTCTTCTTAAGACACTTTACTTTGCCATACGTTCTTTTCACACCAGAACATAGCCTCTGCAGTCACAGTATTGTTCCTATTAATCTAATGGGAGAGCATAGTAGTTTGGCAATTTTGTTTCCTAAGGCCACAAACTAAATTGCAGCTGGTAACGGAATCTTTTTAATTTCCAACCAGGGGATTCAGACCACACTGCCAAACATTTTCCAAGAGGGAACACTGTTAAAAGGGAGGTAACACTGTCAACTATTTGTAGTTTGTTCATGAGGGTATACTGTTCTCTAGAGAATATGAATCCCACATTTTGGAGATACAGGCGATATGTGGCTCTTCTTGTGGATGGTAATAGCGAGAACTGGATACTTTCCAAGTCTCATAATCTTCTTGATTAATTAATTGCCTACTTCATCTGCCAATCTCATGATGGGACAAGAATTATCTCAGCAGGGCCCAGTCTGGGTGAGTGCATAAAGCAAAGTCTCTTCGCCTGGGAAGAAGATGACCAACTCGTGAATCAGTGGTGCCCAGACAAAGCCACTGGCCCTGTGGGTGCTGACTGATAGGAGTGATGTTCTCCATCTGGTCTTCATCTCCATGTGTGCAATATACTCAGATTTACACTAGTTTCAACATTGATAATCCATTTAAACTGCATGTTGCAGGCCCCTGTTAGCTAGATTATTTGATTCACATGAACACCTCCATCATGGGGAACAGAACTCCTCGAAGGCAGTGCTACGGAGACAATTAGTAAACAGACCGCTGCTCTGGCTCCTCACCAGAAAGCATGCTGGCTTCCCTCATCCAGTGCATGGAAACAGCCTCGTCCTTCTGCTTTGAAGCCCATTCGAAGTTACCATTCCCACAGAGATGAGCTATACATGAAAGAAGGAAATTCATTTTAAAACTTCCTTAAAATTTGTATTTATTTGTATATTTGTAATGGAGAGAGGGAGAGTAAAAGGAGGAGAGGGGGAGGGTACTACCTGCTGGTTTCTCTCTCAAATGCCCACATCATCCAAAGCTGGGCTAGGCAGAAGCCAGGAGCCCAGAACCCAAACCAGGTCTCCCACAGGTATGTCAGGAACCCAACTATTTCAGCCACCACTACTACCTCTCAGGGTACACATTCACAAGAAGATGTAATGAGCAGAGGTGGGACTTAGACCCAAGCACTCCAGTGTAGAGAACATGGGAATCCCAAATGGCAATGAAAACTGTGCCCCAAATGCCTGCCTTATTTAAAAAAATTTTTAAAAAAACACATTTATGTTGAGATTTTACCTAGAGTAAACTGCTGTGTGTGTGGAAGAATCTTCACTATTGCCTTAGGGGCTACAGTCACCTACACTCTATGAAAAAATGTGAACAGGCAATATTGATTTGGATGCCTTCCTCTTCTGCTGCTCTGTGTATGGTCTGCACCTTCTGCTCTCCTGTGGTGTCCATGTTCTCCTGTCACCCAATACAGCACTTCTGTTACCCAGACACCAACATCCAAAATGATCTGTTCACACAGCCTTTACTTAAAATTAAGTCTAAACAGATGAGTTTATAAATGCTTAATTCTTCCAAACAAAAATGAAAACACCTTTTCAGGACCCACTTTCTCCTACAAGTTACACCCCATTTCATGCCTTCCCTCTAAAGCAAAAATTAAGAATTGTCTATAGCAGTCATCAATCTTCACCCTCCCATTCTTTACTGAAACCACTCTAGTCAAGTTCTCATCCCTATGCTCCAATGAAGCTGCTCTTAATGAGATTAAAACAATTTTTGGGGCAAATGTTGTGGCATAACAGGTTAAACTGCTACTTAAGATGTCCACATCCCATTGGGAGCTTTAGTTCAATTCCCTACTCCTTTTATAATCCAGATTCCTACTAACGCACTCTGGTGGCTTTGTCTGCCACCCACATGGGAAACCTGTTGGCCTGTGAGCATTTGGATAGTGAACCAACAAAGGGAACATTTCTTTCTCCCTCCCTCTCTCTCTCTCTCTCTCTTCCCCCTTCCCTCACTCTCAAGCTCTCTCTCTCTCTCACTATGCCTTTCAAGTAGTTAATAATCAAACATTTAAAGATGAAGCTCCAGATTGTAAAATCCAAGGGAGTGCATTTGCATTGGTTTTAGCACATGGATGACCACTGCTCCTCCTCACCTTGCCTTCTTGCCTCACAGGATGTCACACCTTTCTCTTTAATTATCGGACTCTCAATTAAGTTTGCTTTAGCCTATCGATCTTCATCTCACAGATTTCACCTCCAAAAATGTTAAAGAGCTTCTGTCTAAAGGTGTTTAGTGATCTCATTTGTCTAATGGCTTAGATAGTACTACGTGCTGATAAATCTCGAATTTAAATCTGCAACCTGAACCTTCTTCCTGAACTCTAGGATCATGAAGTCGATCCCCTAACCTGTCAAAAACTGAACAAAGTGATCTTTCAAACCTCACTTCATAGTCTATCATGTCCCAATGAGTAGTAACATATCCTTTCAGATTACTTAGGCCAAAAGCCTGATAGTAATACCTCGTCCCTCCCTCTTCTCTCTACTCCTTTCTCAGTATTTTATAAACCTCACCCATATTCAAATTCTCCACACATCTCACAAAATAACCAGCTTTAGACCAATCTCACCATCTCTGCTGTTATGACTTTGCACCCAGCTGCCTTAGTGTCCCCTTTCCACAGCCTCCTGACTAGCTTCCTTGTTACTGTCTAGGCTGCTGTTCCTCAACAGGGAATGCTCAATGTGCTGCCACGGTGATCTTGGTAAAACATACATCAGATCGCATCTCTCCTCTGTTGCCACCCCTGTAACACCTTCAACTTCACTTGGAGAAAAGCCCAGCCAAGGCCAGGTCATTGCTCCTCCATGATGTGTCTGCCTTCCTGTTCTGATTACCCCTTCCCTTGTTGAGGGCTCTGCTCACTGCTCCATCATCTTCTCACCCACCTTGTGTTCCTGCATTTGTTGTGTTGTCTTCCAGAAACAGTCATCTATCAGAGAGATGCTTGCTTGGCATCGCCCTTCGGATCGTTACTCAAACACCACACTGGCCAAGTTAAATTCCAAATGCCCACCTCTCTCTATATTTCCCTCCTTTATTTTTAAATGTAAGCTACAAGAGAACAGGGATTTTTGTCAACATTGATGATTGCTGTATCCATGCTGGCTAAAACAGTGCATGTGACTAATAGCTGCTCAGTATATATCTGATTAAAAACAGTAAGTGAAACACAAGCCAAAATAGCTAATAAAAACTAAAGCGGCAAGAAAAATATCTAGATTTTT